TGAAGGTGGAATGAATTTTGAGAGGTTGAAGTGCATTTGTGAAGGTAGTAATTGATATTTCTTTTTGTTTCTTTTGTACAATTCAGTTTTCTTTTGTTGTTGCAGCTGTTGGAGATTAATACTTCCGTCTGAGGGGAATATTGCTGTTTTCCTGTGACCAGTTTCTTTTTGCTTTTAGTATAATCAGCACTGGTGATCATTGCGGAGCGCTTGTTGAAAAGGCTTGCAAATTTATCAGATAATTTTAAAAAGAGCAGATAGAAAGGGGTGTTTATCTTATCTTTGGCAGCCATACAAACTTCTCAAGAATTGCTTTTTGATAAGAGAGTGGAAACATGATTCTCGTTGGCCAAAGATGTCTTTAGTTATTGCCTTCTTTGTTTTCCTTTTGTCTTACTGCAATGATTACAAAAGTAAGTTATTTGTTTCTTTGTCCTTTTTATTTCCGGTGTCATAAAACTTCAAGACGCGTCAAATTACACGGGTTTTTTTTCAGACATTACACATACCCGAACAGTACTCACTGAGCTGAATTCATAGACATCTGATTAAAAGGTGATGATGGTTTGTCAGTGTTATTGGGCGTTGTTGTCTCTCTTAACATATTAGGGACGGAAAAAAACTTGACAAGTATTATTTAAGTATAGACTAAAGAATTGTTGTTAGTTTCCTCAAAGAGAGTTGGCTCAATATTTATTTGGCTGGAAGTGTTCAGCCAGATTTGTAAGGTTACAGTTGTCGACATCTTCGCGCGGTAGTAGTGTTAACGAAACACTTGCTGTCTGCCATGGAAGGTTTGGTTTTACTACTTCCAGTTCTAAATCTCCATTGTTTTTTTAACTCTATAAGTTCAACACAGCTTCTTTGTAGATTTTCCCATAAATTTTACTGCAAAAAATTTTTTAAAAGCCTAGTTCAGACAAGTTATTCACTGATTTAGGTGTTCTTATTGTGCTTGGTTGTCAGACGTTTTCGTTTACATTTCTGCTGTAAATCAGTTCCAAATAAGGCTATTTTGCTTAAAATAAGTGATTTTTGAATATGCTAACTTCAACTTAGAAAAACTGATTAATAATTTTGTTGGTAAAGAAGTATTAGTGGTTATTTGAATAAAACATTATTGAGAAAATGCTGTTGAGCATTAAAACACAGTGAAATCAACCGCAATTTGTTTGTTTCTTTAATATATCACCTAAAAGTTTTGTATAAGAAAGTTTGGAAAAAATCTAAAATAAGCTTAAAATGAAGTAGTTATTAGCAATAATAGATTAACTTTTTGCTTAAAATGTTAATTCAATTTTGACATTTAATTGTGGGTATTGTTGTATTAATGCTGCTTTAAGCTTGTCTTTTTTTTCTTGTTTTTGAATAACTGCAGAATTGTCAATTTTTGAAGGTTACACAGAGTGTGAAACCTTTATTAAACGATGTTATTTGAATAATCAAAAAAAGAAAATGTATTTTTTTTTGTTTTATATTTCTTGAGTAAATTCTGGAAACGGTGAAAGAAATAAACCAAATATTGCTGAAAACTAAATTGGTTGGTGAACATTTGGCTAATGCATTTATTAAGATTGTTCACTAAGGGTTTATATGCGAAAAAGTTTTTATTATACGGTTATGTATCAAAACTGTTCTTCTTTTGCAGCAGCAGTAACAATGACAATTGAAAATACAATTTTATTTTAAAAATTGACAAGTTTATCTTTTGGGCAAAAGGATTTTTTTTTTTGTTTTTTTTTTTTTCTACTAAAATTTATACCAACTGAAATGTTAAATAATGTTTGTTCCTTTATTGTGAAAAGTCGCGATTTAAAAGTGGTAACTGATAGTAGGCTGCTGTTATTGTAATTTCTATCGACAACGACACAAGTTAAGCATCTGCTAATATAGATTCTGCTCTTGTATTTGTATGTTATGGTGAAAGAAGTTAACAGAGAAGATACTACATAATAGTCAACTCATTGTCTATTTCTATAGATATGTCAAATATTATCGGTCAACTAACTGTAAGTGCATTCTGGTTCCCTTCACTGTTTTATCAATGTTGTCATCAATGTCTTACTTTTTCTTGCAGTTTTTTTTGACAACAACGGATGTCAGAATAAAATAAAAGTAAATTATGTTTATGCTTAAAAGGATGCAAAGCGAGCAGGAAACGAAGATAGCAACAGGAATTGCATTAAGAAGTTAGCGGTTGGGGAAGAGAGGGGGAACGATAAATAGGGAAAACTAATGATATTGGTGACAGCCAGAAACTCTTCAATTTAAATTTAATCGTAACATTTGGGTAAACTTCTTTTTTTTTTTTGATGTATGTGTTTGTATTTGCCTGTATGCATTTGTATAGAATAAGAACGGGTTCTTCAATTATTTTAGATGATGTTTTTTGTCTGCTGGTTTATGTAACCCTATTTCTTGCCTATTACCTCTTCCTACCCATCCACCACTTTCTTGCAACATTGTTTTCATC